TGTGTGCATGCCTCTACACATGCGTGTATGTGTGCGGACCACATCGCGTCGTAACCGTTACCTGGCCGGCTTTACGTCCAGCCGGCTCTCTTCCAGGAGTCTCTTACAGTTTGTCCGAGGTGGACTTTTGTTAACGGCAATGGTTGGTACCGTCGACGTTGGTTCGCGTACTACGAAACGTGTCTGGATTCTGGGGAATCCGACTCGGCAAAAACGAGACGAATCAAGTCCGTAAAAAAAAAAAAAAAAAAAAAGACAGAGTCCACTTCGTTAATGACTCCCGTCGTCTGAGCGCTATCGGGGATTTGCTACTTGATACTTAAGTAGAAATCGTGAGTCACATCGGGGATCTAAAAGCAGAAGATAAGAATGTCGAGTTTCGATCCTTAATTATACCGAATCAATTGGATAATCTTCACCTTTCTTTCTCTTAATGAAAGATATGACGCATACTTCCATCATTTGCGTAGATTCGTGCTTTCAGAATCTTCTCTCTCTTTTCAGAATATTTCTATTTGATATAACTTATTCTTTTAATCCTCGTTAAATTTCTATATCACCGTTATCTTTAACTTTCTATAATATAAGATATTTCAATTTTATTTTAAATTATTATAGTCGAATACAAGTATTACGTGATATTAAAAAACAGAATATCATTCTTTAGAATATACCATATGTTGAACACTATACATGTTAAAATTAATTTCTAATTTCTCTCTGATTTCTTATATATTTATACTTTATATATTCTATAATTTTATATTTTGATATATTTTTAAATCAACAACGCATGATTTGACAGTTCAAACAATTTCTATTCAAAGGTCTTTTTCTCTCTCTTTCAAACAAATAAAATATAAAAAATAAAAATAATATAAAGGATGATTTAAAACGACGAGATAAAAAATTCAAGTAATGCTGCACTGACTTTTTTAAAGCGCTTTGATTAATACTTTACTGAAAAAAAAAACATCAAATATATACACTTAAAAAAGCGCGTTTGCAGATTCGCGAGATTCATTGACGATGATTACACCTTTACGTTACCTAGTTCGCAGAAACGATATTAATCTTTTTTCTTTTGCTTTGTTTTGTGCGATGCAGATCCTCTTAAAAGGGGGGATCGTGTCAACTCATTTTACCCACATAAAGTGTCGAAATCTTGCGATAGCGCAAAGTGTAGAACCGTGTACGCTTTCCACTCGTCGCTTTGTATGAGAAGGTAAAAATTGCAATTATCTTAAAAGCGCGAAAATTACTTCATTAACCCGAGTGGTGAATGGAATGGCGAAAGGAAAATTACTTCACTAATGCGATTGTATTTTCCATTGACTTGTCATATGTTAGGAATTGCAACAAAGCACAAAAATATTTCTTATTTCGAGCTATTCTACAATACATTAAATACTTATACAAATCAGGAGAAGACTTTCTCGTAAATCTTCGAAAAGAAAAACATAAGAAAGCGCGACAAATAACGCAAGTGAAAGAAAATTTTAAAGGTGATGGATCATTAGGGAAATACTCGCATAAATAAGATATTTAGCGTCTCATGTGTACAACGAAATAAATTAAGAATATAAAAGTATCTATATATAGATGCAGGCGCAGGTAATCCGCACGATCGTTTACGTTTACGTAATCGCGCAATTTTATTTGAAGATACTGCGCGAAAGTAAGAAAGGATAAAATATCAGGAAACTTTTTCTGATACGAAAAAAATATGTTTCGAAATAATCATTAAGAGTCTTAAATTCCCCTGGTGAGAGGCAATTTATACGTTTTATTTTCATAGTTGACCTAAACAACGTATAAACGACCGATGTAAGAGTATTTTGGCATCGATTTCGCAAAACATTTTAATAATTCAAAGAATTTAAATATATTCTGTTACTAATTCGTAAAATAAGACCAGTTAATGTCAACAAATTAATTTAAAGTTGAAAGATCATAAAAATAAGTATATTTACGGCATGTAAAGATGTAAAGAGAAACTTTACGATGCTATGGTTTATTGGTATTTCGTCGATAATTGAAATAGATCATTTGGATCCCATGAAATCTCGAGAATCTGGTTTTTCATCAATTTTATTGAATAAAGAAAATTCGATTTTTATTATAAAATTTTTAATGCCTAGATTTTTATTTTAATAACAAGTGTTTTTCTCTATCAAACTTATTTTCTTTTTACTTACTAATTTATTTTTACGAATATAACATTTTTATTGGTATTTTAAATTAATCTGCATTGTTATTAAAATAAACGTTTTATTATACAGATTTATTTAGGTGCTCTCTTTTTAACATCGAAAGATAATCCGTCACTCGTAAAATATTGATAAGCATCGTTCTACTCGAATAACTCTTCGACGTTCGGAATTAGCGAGAAAGCATGTAGAACAGAACAAAGCCAATCGAAATAAGGACACGCTACTGAAGATGAGGGACTGGCTGGCAGATTCGAAGGTACTTTCGAAACGCGGCCACATCAAGATGATGAAAAGAGGATCGTTCAATCAATAATGCATTGACGTGATTCGAATGATATGAATCATTCGTTCAGTACTTATTAACTTGCGGAAGTTTGGCAAATCATTTTTACAACAACTTTGGTTGTTATAAAACGGTTACATACATATAAATATTTAGAAATATCTGATATTAATTTTAACGATAAATACTTTACTCGATATTAATTTTTAATTAACTAAGAAGTCGAAATATTAATAGCTTTTCTGAATTGTAAGCAATTTAAAAACAAGCTTTTATTAAAAATTTAGCTTATTCATGTATGAATCCGGCCTTAAATCTTTATTGTTATATCGATACAACAAATTTGTATCTATAACAACGTTGTTATTATTTCAAATGCATCCATCGAATACGTAGTTTACACGATTCTGCGATGTTAGCATCGTAAAAATATCCACGTGTTGTCGGACGGTAAATCGAGTAGATCCGTTACTTACAACTCTGGATGCGGCACCTTGCATATAAACTTTCACGAGCGACCGTTTACTTATCTCGTTAATGAATCGAAGACCTCGTATAAGATAGACAAACGCGAGAATATTAATCTTGAATCTCAATACACGCTGCTATTTGTTTAGCACCGACATAGATATTATAGATTAAAAACAGTGAAAAGGCGAAAAGAATTTTAAAAAATCCGCAAGTAGATTTGAAGAGAGTTTAAAGCAAAAAAATGGCAAGCATTCTATATTTTTCTAAGAAAAGTTTGTACTTAAAATGATATTTAAAAATCGAACATAAAAAAAAGATTTTTTGTTAAATTAGGTTAAAGAGTAAACTGGGACAGATTTGTCTAATTTACTCTTTATACGTGAATATCATTTCTAATTGCATGCTTTCGTCGTTAAAAGACCTTGACATTTCTGTCAATATGAAAATTAATATCGTCCATCTTTCTACCTATTATTAACATAATTACGCGATATATCAGATCTGTTTTCACTACGTAAAAGTTAATAACGAACGATATACTAATTACAACTTTTAGTTTTAAAAAAATAGCACTTTATTTTCCGAGAATTTTCGTTTCGGAATTACATAAAAATTTAAACGGAGTTACATAAAAATTTAATATTAAGTATTTAAAAATCTCGAATATTTTATCAAGAAAGTACATCAAATCTATCAAAAAATCCATCGTTAAAATTAATGTCAGATATTCTAGCGTATCTCGCATAATCAAATAGTTACGCAAGTTTCTTGCATATTTTTAGTGCAAAAATTGAAAAGTTTATTGGCTTTAATATATAATTTGTCGGATATAGCGAGAGCATGACTTTGAAATTGAAATGCAACATCCTGTCATCACCCTGTATAAACCGAGAATTGAGTAACGTATTAGAGCTAACAATAAGATGTAACTTTTTCAACCGCGTTAACTAAACAAAAGCTCGTAAATCGTTGGCGCAACATCACTACATTACATTCTCATGCAACATACTATTTCTCTCAACGTATTGCACCTCCGTCCGAAATAAGAAAGACTCTAACAAAGACAGAAATTTTCCGAGCTTATATAAATGATTGTGTCATATCTTTGATAAGTTAGAGTTATCAAACGTTAGATATTTAATATTTTAATAATTTTATTAGGAAGGTATATACACGCACGCGCATTGATAAAGTATATCAGGCCCGTATAACTTCAGTGAGTTCAATATTCGATATTGCAACTACAGAAAGATATCCTATACCTTACATTTCCTCCCTTCCACGCGTCAATGCCATAGAGATTCCGTTTAATATATATAATGCTTATTACCATTTTACAAATTTTTTTAAAGTATTGTCGAAATTTTCGAAATATATAAAACTGATTTTTAAATTAAAATCGTTTTACCATAGAAATAATTAAACATTGAAAGAGAAGAGGCAACTAAGCTATTATAATTTATAAGCTTATTTCATTCTCGCTCTGAAATCTTGAAATAAAAATAATTGAAGAACCTTTAGTCGATTACTTCTCTATTCTGTACTTATATTGAGACGTCGATATCAAGCAGCATCGAAATTTAAATTGATAGTCCTCGAATAAAATATTTTACTTACTGAAGAAGAAGCGGTCCTTAAGGATGCTGTAAATTTTCGAAGATAGTCGATGATCCTCTTCTTTCTGGCTTGTCGTCTTTTTTCCCCTGCTCGGACTTACCTAGGGACGACAGCTACGAGAAAGAGACTTCGATATCAAACGATGACGATGAGTCGATCGACGACGATAAGAGGTATCAAGGGGCCGAGAGTGCGTAGCGCAGGATCCGATGAATCGGAAATACGGGAAAGGAATGAACTGGCGGACGGTCGCGATGAGCCGGTATATAGTCGGCCCACATTCCCTAGTGGTACGAGTAACCTAAATTCCTCCCACCAGAGCGGGGCATCATCCTCATCAGGTAGACGCTGGGTCCTCCACAGGTGGGGTACGAACCCCACCTGTTCAGCGACGTCGCGGTTATACTTGTACATACCGGTTCATACAGCGATAGCATTATCGTCCACCTTTTCGTCCTCTTCGTCTTTGCCCCCACCAAGCGAGGTTTGTCGACGGTCATCGTCATTTCGAAAATCTCCTCTTGTCCCAGTGGTATGATCTTCGAGAGCGCAATCCGTTGTATCCTGCAGTGAGAGAAAGAAATCTCGTTGAATAAGCGTAACTGGTAGTCGCCCTGATTCGAGTAAATGTCAAGTTACGCAACACTATATTTTATCGATGCAATCGCATTAATAATCGTAATCGAATCAGTTAAATATTTATTGCATTAATTATATATAACGACATTGAATTGACTCGTTTGAACGATAGTAGCCGTCAATTTTGTTTATTAAAATAGATTTCATCAAGCTTTCATCTAAATGGCAATATTAACATTTTGAAATCTGGATATCACGAAAAATTTGGGCATCCGTCTCCTGAGTATCTGTTATGCAACTATCGGATCGAAAAGTTTTAAAAACATAATGTCAGACTTAAAAAACAAAGCTTCCTCTATGTGGAAGCAAAAGTGCAGCCGCTAATTTACATTACAATAATATTTTTAAAAAAAGCAAGTGCTTTAAGAACAGATAGTTGTATCGAAAAAGGCATTTTAAAGTCTAACATCTAACGAAAGGAATCTGTCTCGTTTGAATATATCTGATCTTTTGTTACAATATATTTCTATCATAGAGCGAATGATTATTATTTTGCTGATGAATAATTCGAAAGGCCATGCCTCGTGACACCAAAACTACTTACGGCCGGGACTATAAAACGGCGTAATGACTATGCAAGCATTTAGTAGTCAAGATGACAATTCCTTGGGAAATATCTTTCCGATCATACGATGAGTCGTTTGCCGTTTGAAAGAGCGGCTACGAGATGTCCTCTCGCTTCTTCAAGTTCTCTTCTCACGATCATAGAGTAGCATCAACTTTTAAAGTCACACTTGCCATATTTGATTTGACGTTTGCTACAGCTGTATCTTTGCAATGGAATTATCGTCTAACGAGACCTATAACGGTTACAAGTGATTATATGAAAAGTGGTGTAAGTAATGTGCAACAAATATTATCTTAAAATGTAACAGATACATCATATTTAATTTTTGTTCTAAATAAAAATATAACAAATATATTGACGGAAAATGATATCCCAATAGGATATCATCCAAGAAGGAGTTGTGCTAGATGAATAAAAATTACACAGAATGTTTGTTTACATAAGTATTTACTTTTATTACATTTTTTATT